AGCTTGCGGCTGCTGGGCAGGCACTGGTGGGCCGCGCGGCTGGGCCAACAGGCCACGGGCTGCCGCGCCGGTTGGGCCAAGGCACTGGCGGGGCGGGCCAAAGAGAGGAGCGAGGGCCAAAGAGAGTGGCGCGCCGGTTGGGCAGGCTGGGCCATGGCTTGGCAAGGAGAAGGGGCTCGGTTGGGCTCCTGCCGCTGGCTGGGCTGGTGCAGGGAGAAGGGGAAGGAAACGCTGGGCCGGGCCAAGGCGTGAGGGGAGAGAAGAGAGAAGGGAATAGATTTTCCAATTTATGTTTAAATGGTTTGAACTTGGATTTGAGAAGAATTCACCACATCTTGGGAAGGGTTTCTGAGGTGAAATATAAGGCGGTGTTCGAGGAATCTTTCGGAGGGATTCATATAAACTCAAGACGAAATTTCCATGAGTGTTCAGATGGGAATTTTCCAGGGGATATTCAGAACGACTCGAAGGGGGGATTTGAGGGGAAATTCGGGGGAATCTGCATGGAGTTTGAATAGGAACTTCAAGAGGGGTATTGATGGTACTTGAGATGTGAGCTCCAAGAGGGGCTCGAGGTGATTTCCACTAGCGACTAGAGGAGAGTGTCTTTTCCTTTGTTCTCCTACTCCTAGGTCTTATATGTGCGTACCCGCATGTATTAACAACATGCTTACCCATCGTGGTGGTCTTCTAGGGGTCTAGGGTTTAGGGATTCCGGTCCAATGGTCGGCACAAATATAAATGGCAAGTCCGGCTTCTAGTGGGGTTCGGGATTATAGAGAGAGATTCACGGAAGACTCAAAATAATCCCGCAAGGATCACAAGGAGGTTGCTATGGGTTGTGCTCTCCAACAATAATCAAGACTCAATCACAGGACAACTCGAAAACTCCAGCAATCACCTACAAACCATCTACATGTGTGCAACGTCTTGTTAGCAAGTTGGACTCGTGTTTGACCTAGCAATTACATGTTTCACACATTGCAGGAAAAATTTTAAAAAAGTTCGTATTTTTGGCTTCTCCAAAAACCCAGGTTGTTACAGCAACCGTATCAATTTTGGCATGAAGATTCGAAAGCCCTACTGCTGGACAAAACTGAAGTCTATGACAAATGACCTTACGTCCTATCAGTCCTCCGGTCCAAAGACCCAGAGTTGTTATATCATTCCCGCTTGATGAATCGGAGGACGAATACGTCTCTACTGAGAAGCCATCTAAAGAGACGGCAAAATCGCAAATCCAACAAGAAAGAAAAAACATTAACTATAAAGGAAACGCAAAAAAAGCAACAAAGATAAGAAGAACAAATTACCGAAGCCAGAAACGAAACCTGAAGCCACCAAGGAGTTGCGAAATGTTAGCCAAAAGCGCAGGAAGCTACGAGCGATCATCTGGTTATTGAAACGCCAAGAGGCAACAAACACACACGAAAGGGTTGCGTATATATTGGTCAAGCACGTGTTTCACAACTCGGGGGGACGGCGCCGAGGGGCTACTATTGTGGGATGGCACGATGTTTCAGTCCCCCTATTTCCCTTTATCTATCAACCTTATTTCACCTACGATTGCCGAAAGGCCCACTGGAGCTACCGGGTTGGCCGAAAGGCCTTTTGTCTAGCCAAAAGGTCTTTCGGCCATCGCTTATGGGCATTGACTTCTGGCTACCGGCATGGTCGTCGGGAGATATCGCCTGCCGGTTGGCCAAAAGGCCTTTCATCTAGCTGAAAGGTTTTTCGGCCATCGCTTACTGGCATTGACGTCTGGCTACTGACATGGTTGTCGGGAGATAACACCTGCCAGTTGGCCGAAAGGTCTTTCGGCCATCGCTTATCGACATTGATGTCCGGCTACCGACATGGTCATCAAGAGATAACGCCTGTCGGTTGGCCGAAAGGCCTTTCATCTAGCCGAAAGGTCGTCTTTCGGCCGTGTTGACGGCATTCCATCGGAAGGGTGCAAAAGCCCTTTTGCTTAGCATGACACTTTCATTTTGACTTGGCATGCACGGGTTGTGCAGGTAATCCCTTTTTGTCTTTGTGTTACGAAAAGGCGGAAGCGGACAGAACAATAGAGGCAAACGGTTCCTTTGGCGGGGCCCCCTTGTGCCAGCTGTAAAGCAGAAGGGACTAGGTGAGGAAGGCGCTTACTGGGGGAGGCCAAAGGTGGAATGGACCAGAAACGCCCCGACGATTTGGACTATGCCTTAGGATCTGGGTAGTTGGAGGGGCATTTTTGTCCTTGTAAAAGATACGGATATGTATAAATTGAACTCCAAGAGGGCTGTGTAAGAGAGGAATGAAACCCTAATTCCTTGAGTCATTTGTAAGTGCCTTTCGTTCTTCCTGTTTCTTTCGTTCGGTTATTTTGGTGCTTTCGGTTACTTGAGCGATGACCCAATGTTCGAAGGCTAAGGCCTAGAACAACAAGGTGTTTACATTGAGGAGGTTTACGTGTGGAGACTAACAATTAATAACAAAGATTCCCAAGATGAGAAGATTTAGGTGAAAGAGATGAACGCTTATTTTTTTTTAGAAAATGGAAAAGTTCCAGCCTCTGCAAAGCCAAATCTTACAAGTTTTTAGCTCAATTGCTAAACAAGAATAAAAGGGAAATAACAAAAATAAATGGAAGGAAAAAAATCATATGCAAATTCTGTTATTGCTTCTCCATCCGTTCTTGGCGAATATGTCCGGAGCGACAACCTCCAATGCTCTGCTCGCTAAACGGATAATCCCATTTGTATCCTCATGCTGCAACAACGTCCAAAATCGTAGCCAGTATGTTTCCCTGAATGTGGCCTGCATAAAAGAAGTATATTGTTTTTTTTTCAAAAACAAGATCAGTACGTGTACGCCAGATTGCCAAGGCTTGTTAGCCATCTTGGAAACATGTGAGACGTGGATCTAGGTGGGGTTAACCCAGTAGCTATATGAACAATGTTCCAAATAGTTTTAGCGTACTGGCAGTCAAAAAATAGGTGTTTAATTGTTTCTTGGCTATCACAGAAACCAAACTTTTGGCTATCTGTCCAATTCATTTTGGCTAAATTATCCTTTGTTAAAATTACACCTCGTCGAAGGTACCAAAGTAAAATTAAAACCGATTTGATGAGTGGTACTACTTATGTGATGAACGCTTATAATTATGTGATGAGTGCTACTACTTTTTCTGGTTATGTGAACAGCCCAAAATTAAAACCGATATAATAGTGACTCATTTATTATAGAATTAGTTAATGGAGTTTTTTCCTTGTGTTTTCTCTCATACTAAGATTTACGTACTGCTCCTTGTTCATACAAATAAATCACCAAATCTTGTATCCAACCATCTGGGCCACCAATATATTAATGGTGAAATTCATAAAAATTCAGATAAAATTTATAGGGAGTTCAAACGGCTCTATCTTTCTAGAATTTGAATCGCATATCAAATTATATCCAATCTTCTAACTCAAGGGCCAATACAACCTAGTGGGGACGGAGTTTTCGGTCGTCGGTTTTGGTGGAGACATGACACATGGATCTAGCTTCATATCACAAAGACTTGAACCCTGCAACCTTAGCATCACATTTTGTCCGGTTATCAACCGTGTCACAATCCAGTTGACCTCGCCGAGAAGGCTAATCCCTGCTACGAATCGAAGAACACAAGCAAGAACAAGAAAAATGTGACTCAAGTAAAGTGACAATTGTGGATATATGATTAATCTCTCGAATGTGGCATTTCCACAAACCGATAATGGCGACTGTTCGAAGACAGATTGATCTAAACAAAACCCAAACCCTAACTTGGACGATGGCTTATTTTTTAAAAAAAAATCAAAACATACATTGACATTACACAACGAGAATATTAAATTTCTCCTAGTGAGGTGGGGTTCTCCTATTGTTTTGGCATTCAAAATTTAGTATAAACTTTCCCTACTAAATGCCTCCTAGTGAGATTCACATGTGTTATGACTAGTGGTAGTGTTTTATTACTACATGAAAACACTAGGAGAATTCCACCATTTTGGTAGTGTTACGAGATATGAACCGCAAAAATAAGCCATCATAATTTATTCTAAGGTTTTTGCTTGATGCATTTTAATGATATACGGGGTGTCATGCAATGTGGAAAATATAGATATGGCTGAAAAAACACCTAGGTTAATAAATGATAACTTTATCACAACTAGATTAAGACTATACAGTACCTATAAGCCTACTATATTAGAGAATAAACAAAGAGGGAAAAAGGCGTGCAAATTAATATTGGTAATTTTTATTAGTTATAGATTCTATGCATTAGCGACTAATACTTATATCTCCTAAGACTCTAGCATATGCAGTAATGTGGGTTGATTAACTAGTGTAAGGGTACGGTTCAACTGTAAGTTGTAGAAAATTTCTTGTAAGCTTTAAGCTATGGAAAGGCTATAGTGATCTATGTACTGTGAAAGAACTTTAACCTATATTTTGTTGGAATAACTATAAAGCCTACCGGTCTCTCTATCTCCCTTGAAACAACTTTCAAAAAATCTCTCTATTTTCAGAGATAAAAAAATCAGAAAGTCAAAAGTCAAAAGCAGGATCCAAACTGCTGCAAAAATTGTCAGTCAGCTGCTTCTACAAAAAATATCTTATGGTTTCATCAGTTTGGTTGACGTTCTGCTTTTTTATAGCAGAAGCATTTTCTGAACCAAACACAACTAAGCATTTTCCTTGCTTAAGAAAAGTAGTAGCTTTCCTTCCGAGGGCGAAATAAAGACCGGTCCGCTTGTTGACTTCAAAGTTCCACCAACAATGACTAGAGGACTGGGTCCAACCATAGGCGGTCCCAAGGCCTGGCCACCCCGGGCGTCTGCCCGGGCTCCTTCGTGAGTGGTAATGTTCGCCCAGGCTCTAGAAAATATCTGGGTCCGCCACTGGGTCCAATGAGGCCGGCCACACATCACATATGCACATATATTTCCTGCTGAAAGACTTGTAGATCGCTTCTCCTGCTGTAGAATTATACAATGGCGGATACCATCGTCTCCGCCATCATCGGTGATCTGATCAGCAGAGCTATTTCTATTCTCATTGGGCATTTTAGTAGCCAGGAGAGCACTGAAGACTGGCTGCAAAGGATGAGATATCTGGTCATCAGAATCCACAGCGCGGTAGAGGAAGCAAAAGGGAGACAGGTCTCCAACCACGGCACCCTCCAGTGGCTCTCAGAGCTCATCGACGTCGAGTACCAGGGAAGTTATTTGCTCGACTCCGTCGGGTGTGGCGGTGGCAAGCAGGAAGTTGAAAGAGATGATGATGATGATAAGGTAATTCCCCAAGTTTCCACCTTGTCCTTGTTTAATCCAGCAAAGCGTGTGAGGGTTGCAGCAGCTGGCTGCACCATGAGGCGCGCATCTTCCTGGCCCCATGACGGTATCGGCAGCGCTGATGAGATTGAGAGGGTGCTCCAGAGATTGCAGGGCATGTGTCAAGATCTCAGAGAGTTCATCCTGCTCTTGCAAGACTGCAAGCCGATCCGCCGCCCTCTACCCACAAACATTTTCCGGGACGGGCAGATGTTTGGTCGACATGTTGAGAAGGAGAGTATCATCAACTTTCTGCTGCAGGAAGCTGATCAACTAGGTGTGCTACCTATTGTTGGTGGCAGTGGAGTTGGGAAGACAACCCTGGTGCAGTACGCCTGCGACGATGCCAGAGTGCGTAGCCACTTCCCAGTGATCATGATGTACAGTTTCTCATCCACTTATGATGTTCAAAAGAACGAAGAAACTTCTTCAAATGACCCACTGGAGTTGGTCAAGAGAAATACTACTTTTCGTGGCGAGCAAAAGAGGTGCCTGGTGATATTTGAGGACGTGGACATGCACAAGAAGCAGATACTGGAAGAGTTCTTCAAGAGCCTGGGAAGTAGCAATGTTGGGATGATCAAGATGATCATCACGACAAACAATCCACGTGTAGCAAACATCGTTGGGACAGTGGAGCCAATCATGCTAAAGGCGTTGCCCTGCCCTGAGTACTGGTTCTTCTTCAAGGCCCACGCATTTACCAGCAGAGACGTTGAGGAGAACCCGAGGCTGATCTCTGCAGGGAAAGCAATAGCAAGGAAGCTGAACGGGTCATTCTTCGGTGCCAAGATCGTTGGAGGGGTGCTTAGGGACCACCCGGATGCCAGGCATTGGTGCGAGGTGCTGAGGAGCAACATCGGAGAGATATGTCCCCTCGGTGATGGCATGAGCTACATATCAGACTTGGCTGACAACTTGCTGCCAGGTCATGTGGACATGTGGAAGGTGACACTTTCTAATAAGGACCCCTCCTTTCCTCCTCAGTCGACACAGCAGTTGGTTATGTTAAAGGATGTGCACGGTGCTGCTCCTCATGATAGCATGTTGGCCTGTTGGGCAGATGACCTCCGATTTGCCAAAGTGTTGTTGTGCAAGTCAATACTGCCATTCTTTAACCACTACTATATTGCTCGTTGCTCTTGCACTTGCACCGTAGGATCAGAAAATCCTTGTTCAAAGCTTGTATTATCTCATGCTTGAAATATGTCAATTTAGTGGACTTTTGTTTTTTTTCTAATATTATCGGCCGGTCTTAATTTCTGTATCTAGTCTAAGAAAGAACACGGCCAAGTAATAACTAGAATGGTTGGATAAGCTTGTACACATACCAACCACGGAACAAACCCAAGGTTTGACCCTCTCTATAGCTGTATCTATCTCTTGGAAGTTTTTAAGTGGTAGCCTACTGACTAATCGCCTGCGAGACGGATGTAGTAAATTCGTCGTCTATCTTTTGTCCTCCTGCTACGCAAAGCTTTGACAACACTAGCGTAGACCATTGACAATTCTGTGAAGCCGCCAATAAGATACAACTACAAATATCTTCACTCGTTGCAGAATTTGACTTTATACAAAGAAGTATTTGGGCCACCAGAGGATTCCTTATGTGCCCTAGATAGCTCTAGAATCGATGACATACCACAAGTCACCCTGGAAGAAAATGAATTTCTAACCTCCCGATTCTCAGAAAAAGAAGTTTGAGATGCAGTTTTTGACATGGAACATATAATAAAACACTGGGCCAAATAGTTTCGCAGCTGAGTTTTATCAAAAGTTTTGGAAAGTCACCAAAGGTGACGACCTTCTAAAGATGTTTCAACTCCTTCACAACGGGGATTTGCCATTGTTTAGCTTGAATTCTGGTGTCATCAACCTTATACCGAAGGTTCTAGAAGCAAACCGAATTCAACAATATATACCCATTTGTCTGCTCAATGTGAGTTTTAAAATCTTTACTAAGGTGGTTAGTATTCTAGAAGCAAACCAAATTCAACAATAGAGATCCATTTGTTTGCTCAGTATATGAGTTCTAAAATCTTTACTAAGGTGGCTACTAACCGCTTCAACTCGGTGCTGATCATGTAATCGATCAGCTTTCATGTGAGGACGCAATATCCTTGACAGAGTTGTTATCCTACATGAGACAGTACATGAACTTCACCGGAAGAAATTTAATGGGGTAATTCTCAAAATAGATTTTGAGAAAGCTTATGACAAGGTGAGATGGCCTTTTTTGCTACAAACGCTACGTATGAAAGGATTTTCACCTAAATGGATAAAATAGGTTGAGTCCTTTATCACAGGTGGTAGTGTAGCAATTAAAATGAATGACGAGGTTAGGAATTTTTTCCAAATGAAGAAAGGACTTCATCAAGGCGACCCACTATCTCTTCTTTTATTCGATATTGTAGCATATATGTTAACAATACTAATCAATAGAGCCAAAGATGTTGGGCAGCTAAGTGGAGTGGTGCCACATCTAGTAGATGGTTTATCAATCTTGCAATATGATGATGACACTATTCTATGTATGGAACATGATTTTGAGCAAGACCGAAATATGAAGTTATTACTTTATGCTTTTGAGCAAGCATCAGGCCTTAAAATCAATTTCCATAAAAGCGAAGTGTATTATTTTGGTGATGCCCAAGATGTAGTGGATATACTCAACTTTTTGGGTGTAAATCTAGGGAATTCCCCATGACCAACTTAGGTATTCTGAATTTTTTATTTTTTATCACTTTTTTAAATATTCACATTTAGACCCCCTGCGCGTTTTAATTCCAGTTTGGACCCTGGGCTCAGCGCCATGACTCACAGCGCCGAGCTGTGTGGCGTGGCAGTGGAAGTGGAGCCGGCGTGGCGCCTACGTGGACAGGGCGTCGGCGCCAAGATCTATGGCGCCAAGTTCGGTGCCATAGACGTCGGTGCCGAGCTTGGAGTTGTGCACAATGGCGCCAAGGTCGGCAATGAAAACAACGGGTTTGTTGTTTTAGATTTCAAAATTGGAGATCAAAAAGTGTCCAAACAAAGTTGGGGTTTGTTTATTTGCATGCTAGTTTTTCTAGGAGTACTACAAGTTCTATTTAGGGTTTAAAAGGGGTTGCCACATGAAATTCGAAATGGAAGCACCCAAACATGGCATCACAAAAACTGGCAAACAAGGACTTGGACAAAATTTTGGAAGGGAAAACAGGAAAAAATTCAAAGTTGTGTCCACTGTTTGATAAGGTTAGATGCTGATTTAGGGTTTGGTCCAAAAATAATGTTTGTAGAACACAGCCTAGTCTACAACTTTGATCAAAGGTCAAACACTAGAACTCATAGAAATTAAAGTTCTACTTTGGTCAAAGCAGTAACATCAAAAAGGTGCTTACACTTGATAGGAACACTTAGAAGCATTTTCAAGCCATGTCATCAACATAAACCCTAGTTCATTTTCATTCCTTAGGAGTTCTAGGTTGGTTAGGTGGTCAAATATTACCTGTTTACACCATAACTTGCTTGGTCTTTCAACCATTTGAAGCAACAGACACGTTTGATTAACCCAGCGCTACATGGACATAACATGGAACAATACATTGCATGTGTGGAACTCTAGGCACATAAAGCTAAATAGTCCCACCACTAATCCTAACATGCCTTAGGGAAATTAAACAAAGCATGACTTTCAATGGCATGTGTGGAACTCTGTACATCTAATGTTCAGAACTCCACCACTAGTCCTAACATGCCTTAGGGAATATTACTTGCTGGGTCTATTACATTTTTTCTACTAGGTGTAGCATGGTTGTTTCCCCTTTCCTCATGCCCTGAAAATGGTTCTATTGCATCCTTCTTCATGTCACTCTTATTCTTGAGAGTTGCCTCACGAGCTTGAAGCTCTTCCTCCTGACGCTTGATGGCTACTTCACACAGACTTAATTGCTCCTGCCTCCTTGCAAACTCATCCTCCTTGCCCTTCGAGATGATTGATCCACCCTCAATCACTGCTCTTGCTCAAGTCGCATCTATCGTTCCACCTCACGAGCCTAAGTCATATTGATAAAGTATTATCCTTTGTTTTCCACCTCCATTGGGCATGAGGGTGGCCATGCTGCGCGGGCACCGATCCACCCATTCGATGAACTTGCAAGGCTACGTGTGTAGTTGTAGATGTCATGTAATCAGGTTAAAAAGCGTCTACGAGAAATAAAGTATTTAGTATGTCGTCGTTACCATGAAGTCGCCATCTAGGTCTTGGTACATGAAGAACCTACACGGTCGTATTTGGCTCAAGGAAGTCGATCCGTCCGGACGCTCAACATCGTCGAAAAGCCACAATGGTGCTTTGGCCGCTCATGCCACTCGGGCACTCCAAATGGGTCAGATCTCCAGAAGACATGGTTGTGCAAGAGAGAAGTTTGATGGCTTGAGGAGGAGATGTGGTATGGAAGACATAGGAGGCCTTTATATAGGCAGGTTATATATGGTGCGAAAGAGCATAGCCCATGGAGAGGACAACATGGGTATCTTTCTGCTTTTCAAGATTCCAATGGCAATAAATGTCCCTATGTAGGCTTTGAGAGGTTTTAGTCTTGTAATAAATTCATAGATCGTAGCCTTTTCAGAGATTGGACCATTCAATGTAATTGGTACAACATAGCCTTTTCAGGTCATTTGCAGAAAAGCGGTACATTCCATGAAATAAGTGCTACAACATAGCCTTCTCAAAGGCCGGTCATCATAATTTTGAAACAACAACAAGCTACAGTACATTGCATGAATTATAGAAACACAAAGTACAAACTGCGGCTAGCCTGTTTAGAATGCCTAAGATCACTAAAATCATGAACTGTTGGATCCTGGCCAGGGTAAATATGCCTAATCGGCTCAATATCACTCTCTGTCAACTCTCCAATAGGGCAGTCATCATCAGAATCAACAGCCCTTGCGATCTCATAAGGCTCCACATCATCCATAATTTGAACACCCACACTATTGGAGGCAGATAGACTTATTCAACATTGATAGATGGAGCAACAGGAGGACCACCCACATTTTTGGAATGTCTCCTACAAGGTTGCAACATAAGCACAAAAACGATGGGATTAAGACAAATGAATGGAACGAAGGGCAAATTCTAGGTCAAAGGGATCTCCTCAGGGGCTGCCAAGACATCATTAGTCCGACATTCATCTCAAACTAGCCAAGAAATTTGGACCTTGTTGGGGGCAGATAGAGCATCGGGCACCGCAGGCGTTCCACATCGACATCAAGGTCTAGTAATGGATGGTCAAAGGGTGCCTGCTAACCCAATTCTGGTGAAAACCATGAGGGGTAGATCAATTGACACCTTCCGCACAACTAGGTCCAAAAATTACAACTGATTCCTCATAACCGATCTAACATATTTCTCCCACTGATCGTCACAGCCAATTGAGATCATCCGCCTTAGAATTGTGTCTTTTGAACCAAAATGAAGTACCCCCTCAACTGCGATGCCATCCTCATTTACTTATTCCTCACTAAACTTACTTAATTCCTAGGTGTTACATGGCCTCCGATTACGCCGCTGCCACCGAGATACGTGCACAGTGGAGAACCAAGTCGAGAAGACCGAAAAATGACGGCACGAGGAAAAAGAATGAAGGGGTATAACCAGTGGCAAGTGAGTAATTTTGATGAAAACCTTGCCCCCACAGCCAGTGAAAGCAAGTCGAGGGGTAATGTGAGTTTTGTACTGGGTGAAAGCCGCTTTTTTTTTAAAGAAGCAGCTAGTCATCCCACCCCTTTGGTTGACTTTTGCCATTTTTTAGCAAAAACACTTTTGGAAGCCCAACCAAACACACCCTAAATAGAACTACCGTCTGTGTATTTTGGGAGACATACATAATTTTTGACCGTCATGGTTAATAATGTCCTAAAATTTAATTTTGTACTAGTGAATGAACGTCTAGGTTTCCCGGTAGATGTACTTCTCTAATGATATTATCTTGATAATTTTACCCATGGTTTAGGAATACGCTATTGCTTTGCCTCAACTGATGAATTCGTGGTTTAGATAGAGGAGGCAGATGTGTTGTATCAGAGAATAAAGGAAAAAGGGGATATCGCTACAGACATAAGTCTGAGGGATATATTGACGTTTGGATGGGTGGGGATGGGGATTGTGATAAGATAAGGAGATATTACCTATTCGCTTATGCTGAAATTTAGCT